CCCCCTTCAGCGATGAGGACCCTCATCACCAGCCTATTCCCCCTTCCTTGCCCGGGTCCACTTCCTTAACCCTGCTCCTCAGTCTGTAACCCTTTCTAGAGCTAGGCCCCCTTTCTCGCGTGGTCTCCCTCCCCCCTCCCCCCCAGCCCCATGCTGCCTGCCCTTCCCCCGTCAGGAGCCCTGAACCTGCCTGTTCCCTGAAACCCAGTCATGCCCGCTTTCTCAGCCAGGGCCCCTCACTTAGCCAGGCCCCATTCCCCATGTACGCCTTCCTCTCCAGTGAGGCCCCATCTCCCAGCCAGCACCCCCTTCTGCAGCAGCCCTCCCCAGCCCCAGCCCCAGCTTCTGACCCCTCCCCAGCCTGTGCCCCCTGGACAGGTAGGCCCTCTTTGGCGACCAGATGACCTTTCCCAGCCTGAACTCCTGTCTCCAGCCTGTACTCTATCCCCGCTGGGGCCCCCTCTGCCAGGTTCCCTTCACCTACTTAGCCCTGTCTCCAGGCAGGCTTCCTGGCTCCACTTTATTTCCCTTGCCCAGGCCAGGCCATCTTCCTCAGGCTACGCCCTCTTTATGTGGGGCCCCCTTCTGAGTCAGCCATCTGGCCAGTCTGTGTCCACCTCTAACCACTCACTGCTGCTTTCCCAGCCTGTGTCTCCGCGGGGCCTCCTTACCATCCTGTGCCCGTAGGCAAGCCTCAACCCCAGTCCTCCCCTTCTACAGCCAAGTCCTCTACACCCCCCCAGCCAGGGCCCATTCCCAACCTGAGAGGAACCCTGTTGACAGCCTCCTTAGCCAGTCTACCCTTCCCTAGCCCAAGCCCCTTTTCAATCTATGTTGCCTTCCCCATGTGGGACCTCTTCCCCCAAAAGGGCCTTCTTCCCACAGCCAGATGCCTATCCCCAGCCTTCCCCCTTTCCAATGGGACCGCTTTTCCAAGAAGTTGCCCCTTTACTGGCCTTGCCTAGCCAGTGCCTCCTTCCCAGCCAGGCGTCAGCTTCTCTCAGCTCCCTCTCACCTGCTGATATAGTTTGGAATCTTGTCCCCTCCAAATCTCACGTTGAAATTTGATCTCCAATGTTGGAGGTGGGGCCTGGCGGGAGGTGTTTGTGTCATGGGGGGGCGGATGCCTCATGAATGGCTTGGTGCCCTCCCTGTGGTAATAAAAGTGAGTTCTTTTCTTTTCTTTGGAGACAGAGTCTCACTCAGTTGCCTGGGCTAGAGTGCTGTAATGTCAGCCTAGCTCACAGCAACCTCCAACTCCTGGGCTCAAGCAATCCTCCTGCCTCAGCCTCCCGAGTAGCTGGGACTACAGGCATGCACCACCATGCCCGGGTAATTTTTTCTATATATTTTTAGTTAGTCTATTAATTTCTTTCTATTTTTGGTAGAGACGGGGTCTCCCTCTTGCTCAGGCTGGTCTCGAACTCCTGAGCTCAAATGATCCACCCGCCTTGGCCTCCCTGAGTGTTAGGATTACAGGTGTGAGCCACCGTGCCTAGCCAATAAGTGAGTTCTTCCTTTACTAGTTCACGTGAGAGCTTGTTGTTTAAAAGAAGGTGGGTCCTCTCTTGCTTTCTCTCTCGCCACGTGACATACCTGCTCCCCCTTTGCCTTTCACCACAGTTGGGAGCTCCCTGCAGCCCTCATCAGACACGATGCTGGCACCAGGCTTCTTGCACAGCCTGCAGAACAGTGAGCCAAATAAACCTCTTTTCTTTGTAAATTCCCCAACCTCGGGTATTCCTTTATAGCAGCGCAAAACAGACAGCTCCTTCCAAGTAGCCTCCCCAGTTATGTGACCTTTCCCACCAAGACCCCTTCACCCGCACGTGCCCCATGCTAAACCATGTCCCCTTCCCCAGCAAGGAGCCCTTTCCCAGCTGTGCCCCTCCCTCCAGCCAGGCTGTCCTCACCCACCTAGGCCCTCTTCCCCAGCCTGTGCTCCTTTTCCCAGGCAGGCCTCCCTCCCCAGCAAGGCCCCCTTCCTCAACTTTGGCGCCCCTTCCCTAGCCCAGGCCCCTTCTCTAGCCTATTCCCGCTCCCGCAGCCAGACCCTCACCTTGTCCTGTGCCCACCCCAGCTAGGCCCCCTTCCTCAATCATATACCTTCCCTCTGCCAGGCTCTCCATCAGGGCCAGAGGCCTTCATTGCCAGCACGGTCCCTTCCCTAGCAGTAGCAGGCCCTCTCCAGCTGCTAGGCCCCCTCTTCCGACCAGGAAGCAAGATAGGCTGGAGGGTGGGGCACTGGGGGATGCAAAGACCCTGGCAGGGATGCAAAGACCCTGGTCCACGAAGCTGCCTATCACCTCACCTCCAGCCTCCATCCTTCTCAGCATTCAAACCTCTCCCACCACAATGCTCCCTTTCCTAGCCTGTGCCTCCCTTCCCGGCCCCTGCCGCTGCCAGAGCCTCTCTCCAGTCAGGCAACCTTTCCCTGCCAGGGTCTTTGCATCCCCCAGTGCCCCACCCTCCAGCCTATCTTGCTTCCTCAGCTCGCGCCAACCTCTCAAGCCTCTGCTCTCCTTACAAGACAGGCACATCACATCCATATCCAGGCCCCTTCCCCAGCCTCTCCCTCTTCACCAGCCTATCTCTTTCTTCCCAGCTTATGCCTGCTTCCCTGTGCCAGATCCTCCCTGGCCTGGTGCCCTGCCCAGCTTGGGTTCCATACAGCTTATGTCCCCTCCCCCAGCCAGGTCCCCTTCCCCAGGCTTTTTCCCCTTTAACAGCCAGGGACACCATTCTCATCCTTTGACCCCTAACTCCACTAGGCCTCCTTCCCTTGACCAGCCAATTCCTCCTTCCCTAACCAGCCCTCCACCAGCACCCCCGCCCCCACCTGCCTTCTCTATTATCCCTTTCCCAGCCAGGCCTCCCCACCCTGTGTCCCAGTCCACAGCCATGTCCCCTTCCTGTGCCTGCGCCTCCCTACTCAGCTAAGTCTCTTTCCCTAGCCTATTCTCTCTTCGCCAGAATCTTTCCCCTTGTCCTGCCAAGGCCACTTCCCTGACTGGCAGCTTTGCCCACCTAAGCCCACATCCTTAGTCAGGCCACCTTTCCCAGTCAGTGTCCCCCCTTACCCTCACAGCATGGTCCCACACTCCAACATCCCCCCTAACCCCATCCCAGCCAGGCTCCCTTCTCCTTCCATGGGGGGAGCCCCTTCCACACCATATGGCCCTTCTCCAGCCTGTGTCCCCTACCCAGAGAGGTCCCTTCCCCATCCAGGCCCAATTCCTCAGCAAGGACCCCCTCTGCTGGCTCCCCTCCTGGGCCAGCTCCCTTTTCACAGCCAGGCCCCTTTCCCAAGTTGTGGCCCATCCCAGCCTGGTCCTCTTCTCGCCTGTTCCAACCTTCCAAGCCTGGTGGCTCCCAGCCAGGGTGCCTCCTCTATCCAGTCCTCCTCCCACAGCCAGACCCTGTTCCCTAGCCAATGCCTCTTTCCCCAGGAAGATCTCTTCTCCCTCCAGACTCCTTTCCTCTGCAGGCGCCCCTTGCCTGGCTGGGCAGCTTGCCCCAGCCATTTCCCCATTCAGCAGCCCCAGACTCCTCTATCATCTGCTGCACCCTTCCAACCAGGCCTCTTGCCCCAACAAGTTGCCCCTTCACTGGCCTATTCTTCCTTCCACAGCCAGTGTCTCTTTCCCTGCCCAGCTCCCTTTCCTGCCCTGTTCTCCACCCAACCCCACCCCTGCCAGGACCCCTTCAGCAGAATGTAGCTCAGTTACCAGCCAGCTTCCCTTCTTAAGCTTGGCCACCTTCCCCTCCCTATTCAACCCACCCCAGCTGGGCCACCTTCCCCTACCAGGATGCCTTCCCCAGCCCATGTCCCTTCCCTTGCCAGGCACCCTCCCTCAGCCAAGTCTTCTTTCCCAGCCTGGGTCCCCCTATCCAGCTGAGCCTCCTTGTCCATCAAAGCTCCCTACCCTAGCCAGGCCCCCTCTTTTAGCTTGTGGCCCCTCCCTGACCCCATGTAGCCCACCCCAGTAGAGCACCTTTCCAATATCTAGAGCCCTTCACCAGCCTTTGTCCATGTGCCCCGTCAGGCCCCTGTCATGGGCCTATGTCCCAGACCCCACACAGGCCCCCTCCTCTAGCTAGGCTCTCTCTTCACCATCTATGCCCAGGTCCCCAGCCACCCCCCTTCCTCAGCTTGTCCACCCCTCCCTCCGCCCCCCAGCCTGTTCCACTTTACCCTGCCATGCCCCATTCATCGTCTGAGGCTGCTCCAGTCCTCAACTTGCACCCTCCTTCCCAGCCAAAGCCCCCTTCTGCAGATTACATCTCCCATCCTGGCCTGTTCTTCCTTCCCCTGGCTATGCCCCTCCTGCAGCCTGTCCCCCTTCCTGCCCAACCTGTACTCCCTCCCCCAGCCAGCTGTTCCTATCCCTGTAAAAGGCAATCTTGTTACAATGCACCCAAATACCTAGTTTTCCCAGGGATCTTTTCTTCTCAGCCAGCTGGCTAGCTGAAACTTCTCTGATACACACATTTACATAGGGAACTATCTGGCAGGATTTCCATATTTGTATTTTGGAAACACCCCAAAAGAAAACACAGTGGCACTTCTTTCCCTCCTACAACACTGTCCTGGGCTGGTGAGTTTTTGGAAGTAGGGGTTCTTTTTCATACACTGCAATGAGAACATCCTTAAATGAAACCATTTCATGTTGTTTTTTACTGAGTGAAACATCAACTAAGGACATTCTCAAGATAAAGTTCCTCCCTAAATCCTTCTCTGGGAAACACTCTACTCCAGGTCACCACCAAGACTGCAAGCCCATTTCTCCTTCCCAAAGCCTCAGCTGTCCCGTCCCAGCCCAACTCCTGACCCCTCCAGGGTCTCTTTGCTGAAGTAGATCCTGGGATATAAATTCCATATGAACTAAGTTAGTTACACAAAAATAGAGAATCAGGTATTTTTTAAACCACTTTTATTCTTTAAAGGAATTGCATAATTGAAAAAAATATTTAACTTATGTACTTTATTTTGGAGCATTTGGAATGTACAAGTAATTTTTTAAATGAATTCAAGTGACCTCACTGAAATACAGCATGTGAACATTAAATTTTAAAGAGATTGTTTACTGCAAATCATTTCACTTTCACTATTTCTTTTGGCAAATTCAATATGTTACAAGTCTCAAATATCAACAAAGGTATATTGTTCACGTTTTTCGCCTCGTGTCCATTGTTGATATAACAAAACAGATAAAATACTTTAACACTTTAAAAAAATCTTTTCTAATACTTTGCTATCTCTAAGAATTAAGGAAAGTTACAAAATTGAGATATTTCACATATTATACCAGTGTATATAACAAGGTGGATCAACCACTTGAATAAAGTCATAGCCTTTTATATCTTCAAGAATAAAGGAAACTTACTAGATTCAGATCTTGACCCCTTACAGTAAGTTAAACTATCAGCGTGTCTTTGCTTCGTAACAGTTGTACAGACAATGACATGGATCAACTACCTGAATAAAGTTATATCCCTTGCTACTTTTAATAAATGAAATTCAAATTTTTCACATTTTAGAGTAAACCTTACCTAGCCTATCAGTTTATCTAAATTTGTTTTCTATATTTAACATATTTACCTTCCAAATGTAAACGCCATTATTTAGAATTTAGCAAACATCTGAGCAACTAAAATTAATTTGGAACCACACAAGGTTTGATGAAAAAACAAAACAAAGTACTAGCCGAGCTCTTGTTCAAACTTGACACATCTCCCGAGTAGCACAGGTTAAGTAAAAAGCAAAGCATCATAATTTTTTTTCAAAAAACTCAGCAAAAGGCATTCACAAAGCATTTCGATCACATAAACTCCAACTTTATCTAAGTAATCTGATGTATTCATGAGAAAAGCTGAAGACGCTGAGCTATTCTACTGAACTTATTTTTCCCAATTTAAGAATGCTACAAGCAATACGTTTCCATTTTTAACCCAAAGTTATATGCAACATGACCAATGCTTAGTCGTGAGGGAGGTAAAGACCCTTAGGTGCAAGAAGAGGTTAGGTTTTTATCAAACTTATGCCTCTCAGGTAGAATAATGCAGATATTTTCCTTGAAATTAGCCCCATCCCCCACCTCCCGAAAGAAACGACAAAGGAATGGGGGGACAGAATGGCTAAGGAAGGAAAGGCCGGGTGGGGACGGGGGGATTATTGGAAGAGAAAGGCCGGTGAATTTTGAGTGAAATGAAGAAAGATAAAGCAGAAAAAAAAAAACAAAAACAAAAGCAAAAAAACGGAGCCTACTGAGGAGACTGGGCAGCAGCTTTGGCTCCAGCAGCGACCGCGACCGCAAAGGCGACGCTCGGCGGCGTGCTCGGGCCTAGAAAAGGCGCGGAGCCGCTCCCCCCGCGGCGCCGGCCTCGAGCGGCTTCACGGAGTTGTAGTGCTCCCCGAGGCTGCAGCCGTAGCGCAGGTAGACGAGGGTGAGCGGCTTCCTGGTGTACTCCTCCCCGATGACCACGACCGGCGAATCGGCCTGGATCACCTCGATGGGGGTCTGCAGGACGTGAGACAGGGCCCTCAGCTCCAGCTGGCCTCCCCACGAGGCACTGCGCACGATGTCGTCACAATAGCTCAGGAAATCATCGCGGCCATAGGCGTCACCGGTTTCGGGATCGCTGAAGAAGGGCAGGAAGTCGTCGACGTGCTTCTGCATGTAGTCGGCGGTGCGGCAACGCAGGCTCTCCACGGTCACCGAGAACACCAGCTGGTCTTGGATGGCGCGGTACATGCAGTGGCCGTCAGCCGGGATATCTTTCATCTCGAGATTCTTGGCCCCCAGGATGATGGCGAGCTTCTCCTCCTCCTCACGCCGGAAGCTGGCCAGGTGCTCCATTTCGGCCTCCATGATCCTCTCCTGGCGTTCTCTCTCGAGGGCCGCCCTTCTTTCTCGTCTTTTCTGTGCCCTCGAGATCCGGGGAGGCTGGTTCTCGAGATTCATCTTGGCCAGATCTTCAGTGACAGAATCGAGGTTGCTGCTGTCAGGGAAGCTCTCTTGGAACTTCTCCAGCTCTTGCTGGTGCTTCTGCTCCATCTCGGCCTCGAGGCGGGCCACATCTAGGAGCAACTGCTTTCTTTTCTTCTTGTCGCTCTTGGGGACCGAATTTTTCATGGCCTGGATACGGGCCTGTAGCTCTTTCTTCTCGCGGTGGTGGCGTCTTATCATCCGCTGGTGCTCATTCTGAAGATCTTCCATGATGTTTATTGGCAGGCGGGAGTTGAAATTAGTGGCAGCTCAAGGACTGACTGCAGCTCAGACCAACAGCCGGAGCCTCCGAACACGCCCCCAACCGCTGTCCTAGCCGCTGCTCTCTGTTCACCTCAGCCGCCGGTTGCCCTCCCCTAGTCACAGCCTCTTCTTCCATTGGCTACTGCCTCTTCCTGGCTACGCCCCCAAGCAAGCCTGGCTCTAGGATTGGCTGTTGGGAGACCCTACATACATTCCCGTTAGACCCCGTAGCAACTGTCGCCTACGGTTTTAGCGGGGTTCAAATATGGCTAATAAAATCCCGCCTTTCAACAATATGTGGAACAACTGGGCTTAAAGAGTTTTTTCTTTGACTCTTACTGCCTACTTCATTTCTAAGTTTGGACACAACGCAGACACTGGCCGTGCTTGCGAACCACAGAACAAATACTATACCATCGGCTGAATGTGCTCTGATCTTGGATTTGGTGTTGCTCCTTATGTTCAGGAGGCAGTGTGGCTTTCTCCAGTTTTTCGGTTCCCTTGACTGATGAACCCTTAATCTTTGTGCATCAGAACAAGGACATTTCCTTATGTTCCTGGGAACACAAAGTCCTTTCGATTTACTTTTCAAATTCACCCTCTCCCATCTCAGTGTAAGAATGCAACAGCCACTCTCCTTTGAGTCACCCACTACAACAAAGCAGATGTCTTGACTTGTGCCAACAGGCCGCACCTACACTACACTCCCCTTCTCCTGGGTTCCCAGATCCCAAATTGGTCTCCTTAGGATGTCCATGAAGCACCACAATCAACGTTCATCAAGCCATTTCTTTCTGGTTATTTTGAATCTCCAAAAGTTCTGAAGACAGATAAAAAGCCTTAACTGTTTCAAATATGCTCTCATCCTGACACCACCCCCCACTTGCATCTTGAATCCCAAATAGGAAGGCCCTCCAGACCACATCTCCCTTGCTACAAATGAGGAGGAAAGTGGACATTGATCCAAGTTGTGTGTTTCAAAATTTCATTCATTTTTATTGGTAAGTAGTATTCCGTGATACGGATTTACTGTAGTTTGTTTATAACATTCACCTGTTGAAGAGCATCTGGGTTGTTTCCAGTTTGGGGATATCACACATAAAACTTCTATAAACATATGAATACAGGTTTCTGTGTGAACATAAGTCATTTCTCTGGGGAAAATGCCCAGGAGTGCAATTGCTGGGTCATTCTAAGTGCATGTTTATTTTTTAAGAAACGATTTTCCAGAGTGCCTGTGACATTGTACATTCCTGCCAGCAGTGCATGAGCCATCCAATTTCTCTGCATCCTCACCAGCATTTGGCATTGTCACAATTTTTAAATTTTATTTTAGCTGTTTTGTTAAGTGTGTAGTGATATCTCATTGTGGTTTTAATTTGTATTTCCCTAGTGATGTTCATCTTTTCATGTGCTCATTTGCCATCCATACCATATCCTCTTTGGTAAAATGTTGGTGTCATTTGCCTATTTTCTAATTGGACTGTTTTTTACTGTTAGTTTTAAGAGTTCTTTACATGTTCTACATACTAGTTCTTTGTCGGATTTGTAGTTTGCAAATATTTTCTCCCAGTCTGTGGCATATCTTTTCATCTTCTTAACAAGATCTTTCTTAGAGCAAAAGTTTTTAATTTTTATGAAGTCCAATTTATCAATTTTTCTTTTATGGATCATATTTTTGGTGTCAAGTCTAAGAACTAACTCTTTGTCTTAGCCTACATCCCAAAGATTTTTGTCCTTTTCTTTACTAAAATATTTATAGCTTTAGGTTTTAAAGGTAAACCCGTGATCTATTTTGACTTTATTTTTGTGTAAGGTTTGAGACTTAGATTGAGGTTCACTTTTTTGCCTAAGGCTTCCTCCATTGAATTTTTTTTTGCACTTTTGTCAAAAATCAGTTGGGGATATTTGTATGTGTCTATTTCTGGGTTCTCTATTCTGTTCTGTTCATCTATGTGTCTTTTTCTCCACCAACACCATACCACCTTGATTACTGTAGCTATGTCTTGAAATCAGACATAGCTATAGTCTACAGGCAACTTTTATGTCTTAAAAATTGTTTTAGCAATTCTAGTTTCTTTGTCTTTTTGTATAAATTTTAGAATACTCTTGTCTGTATCTACAAAAAACTCTTTCTGGGATTTTCATAGGAATTCTGTTAAAGCTATATATCAGTTTGGGGAGAATTGACATCTTTACTATGTGGAGTCTTCCAATTCAAGAACACCTGAGTATGTATCTCCATTTATTTAGATTTTCACTGGCTTCTTTCATTAACACTTTACAGTTTATAGTTTTTAACATATAAATCGTGCATATTTTGTTACATTTACACTTAACCATTTCTCTTTTTTGAGTGATTGTAAATGGTATTATAGTTTTAGTTTTGATGTTCATATGTTCATTGCTAGTATATAGAAATACAGTTGACTGTTGTATGTTCATATTGTGTTCTATGACCTTGCTTAATTCACTTATTATTTCTAGGAGGTTTTTCTTGGTAGATACCTTGGAATGTTCTATGTGGAACATCATGTCACCTGTGAATGGGGACAGTTTTATTTCATCCTTTCTAACCAGTGTGCCTTTTATTTCCTTTTTTGCCTTATTGCACTGGTTAGAACTTCCAGCACTATGTTGGATAAGAATGGTGAGGGTAGATATCCTTGTTTTGTTTTTGATCTTAGGGGGAAAGAATTTTGTCTTTCACAATTGAGTATGATATTAGCTGTAGGTTTTTGTAGATATTCTTTATCAAGTTAAGGATTTCCCCCCTTCCTATTTTTTGAGAGTTTTTGACATGAATGAATATTGAATTTTGTCAATTTTTCCACATTGATTAATATGTTAATATGATTTTTCTTCTATAGCTTATTGATATGAGAGATTACAGTGATTGCCTGTCAAGTATTGAATCAGTCTTAAATTCCTGCAATAAACCCCATTTGGTCATAGTTTACAATTATTTTTATATATTGCTGAATTTTATTTGCTGATACTTTCTTAAGAATTTAAAAATATACATTCATGAGAAATATTGGTCTGTAGTTTTCTTTTTTGGTACTGTTTTCTTTAGTTTTGTAATCAGGGTGATACTAACTTAACAAGAAGAGGAGGGACCCTCCTCTTATATTTTTTGGAAAGAGATTATATAAAATCAGTATTAATTCTTTAAACATTTGGTAGGATTCCCCAATGAAACCATCCGGGCCAAGAGATTGCTGTTTTCGGAGTTTGAAAACTACAAAATCATTCTCCTTAATAGGGCTAATCAAATTATATATTTCATATTGAGTGAATTTTGGCAGCTTGTGTTTTCTGGTGAATTGGTCCATTTCTTCTGAGTAGACAAATTTACGTGTGTAGAGTAATTTGTAATATTCTATTATTATTGTTTAATGTTTGGAGGTTCTGTACTGATAGTCCCTGCTTTATCCCTGATATTGGTAATTTGTGTCTTCTCTCTTTTTTCTTTGTCAGGCTTGCTAGAGATTTGTCAATTTTATTGATCTTTCCAAAGAACTAGCATGTTGTTTCATTGATTTTCCCTATTACTTTTCTGTTTTCAATTTAATTAATTTATGCTCTTTATTATATCCTTTCTTCTGCTTGCTTTGGGTTTTGTTTGCTCTTCTTTTTCTAAGTTCTTGTGGTGAGAGCTTACATAATTGATTTCAGATTTTCCTCTTTTTCTAATGTATGCATTTAGTGTTATAAATTTCCTTCTCAGTATTACTTTAACTGTATCTCACAAGTTTTGATATATTGTATTTTCATTCTCATTCAGTTCAATGTATTTTTTGGTATTCCTTGAGACTCTCTGGCCCATGGATTATTTAGAAGTGACTTGGCTTCCAGTGTTTGCAGGTCTTTCTGTTAATGATTTCTATTTTGATTCCTTTGTGGTTAGAGAACACACTTCTCTATGATTTTTTATATTTTTTTTTTCAGTATATTACGGGGGTACTAATGTTTAGGCTATGTATATTGCCCCTGCCCCACCCGAGTCAGAGCTTCAAGCATGTCCATCCCCCAGACAGTGTGCACTGCACCCTTTAGGTGTGTACATACCCATCCCCTCTTCCCCACTCCCGCATGCCTGACACCTAATGAATGTTGTTACCATATGTGCACTTAAGTATGATCAGTTAATATCAATTTGATGGTGAGTACATGTGGTGCTTATTTTTCCATTCTTGTGGTAATTCACTTAGTAGAATGGGTTCCAGCTCTTTCCAGGATAATACAAGAGGTGCTATAGCACAATTGTTTTTTGTGGCTGAATAGAACTCCATGGTATACATATACCACATTTTATTAATCCACTCATGTATTGATGGGCACTTGGGTTGTTTCCATATCTTTGCAATTATGAATTGTGCTGCTATGAACATTCTAGTGCAGATGTCTTTTTTATAGAATGTCTTTTGTTCTTTTGGGTAGATGCCCAGTAATGGGATTGCTGGATCAAATGCTAGTTCTACTTGTATCTCTTTAAGGTATCTCCATATTACTTTCCACAGAGGTTGCACTAGTTTGCAGGCCCACCAACAGTGTATGAGTGGTCCTATCTCTCCGCATCCACACCAACACTTATTGTTTTAGGTCTTTTTGATAAAGGCCATTCTCACTGGAGATAAGTGATATCTCATGTGTTTTTTTTTTTAATTTTAGCGTATTATGGGGGTACAAGTGTTAAGGTTATATATATTGCCCATGGCCCCCCTCCCCCCTCGAGTAAGAGCTTCAAGCGTGTCCATCGCCCAAACGTTGCACATCTTACTCAGTTGGTTGTATATACCCATCCCCTCCTCCCCCCTCCCACAGTCCGGACATCTGATAAATGTTACTCTTATATGTCCACTTAGGTGTTGATCCATTAATACCAATTTGCTGGTGAGTACATGTGGTTCATGTGGTTTTGATTTGCTTTTCCATTAGAGATGTTGAGCATTTTTTCATATGTTTGTTGGCCATTAGTCTATCTTATTTTGGAAAATTTCTGTTCATGTCCTTTGCCCACTTTTTGATAGCGTTGTTTGATTTTTATCTTGCTGATTTTCCTGAGTTCTATATAGATTCTAGTTATCAGGCCTTTATCAGATATGTTACATGTGGATATTTTCTCCCATTCTGTAGGTTGTCTATTTGCTGTCATGATAGTTTCCTTGGCTGTGCAGAAGCTTTTTAATTTGATCAGATCCCATTTATTTATTTTTGTTGTTGCTGTGATTGCCTTTGGGGTCTTCTTCATAAATTCTTTGTGTAGGCCAATGTTTATAAGAGTTTTTCCAACATTTTCTCCTAGAATTCTTAGAGTTTCATGCCTTAGGTCTAAATCTGTTATCCACTGTGAGTTGATTTTTGTGGGAGGTGAAAGGTATGGCACTGTTGTTTTAATTTGTAATTCCCTAATCACATATTGTAACAGAGTAATCACCCCTTCCTCCATAGATATGGAAGGGAAATATTGACAATGGGGAATGTGTAATAGAGGGAATGGCCTGAATAAAACTGCAAAAATATTTTCTGTCTCTTTAGAACAACTTCCACTTCTTTTTGAGAACTAAAAGCTACATCCCTGCATCAGGCCAGTAGTTGGGAGGAGCAGGTTAAGTCTTTTGTTCTTTGTGCGATAGGAGATGGCTCAGCTGGAGCTGGCCCTGGTGGAGAGAGAGAGAGGTCCTGGGTGGAGGTCACAGGAGTGTCTTCAGTGGAGATGGGACAATTTTAATCATCAACTGTAGTTGAAACCCCACCTTTTAAAAGCTCTGTACTTCTGCTTATTATTAGGAATTTGGATTTTGAGACGAGAAAGTCTCCCATTTTTTCTCCTCTGATGGCAAAGTAATAAACTTCTCTTTTCTTCTCCTCAAACCATTTGTTCTCATTATTCTGATGCAGCCCCAAGGTTGCAAAGAACAAGGACGAGGCTTATGTAGAAGGTGTTAGTCATCCGGAATGCCACTGTATATTTGGAAGCTTTTGGTAACAATAGGAT